CAGCTGGGAGGGTATGGGCTAACGAGACACGGGGAGCAAAGCTAGACACACTGAGATGAGCCACAACCTTTCACAATAAAACGGGAAACAAGAAACAGACAGACTTGACACTGAACTGAACTTATACTAAACGAGAGACACAACCTAAGAACTAATCCCTCACAAAAAATAACTGAAACATAGAATAATACTAATAAACAAAGCATGACAAAAGGATCAGAATACAAACCATAATACAAAGGAATATAAGAACTGAAAATGCTGGGTCAAAATGACCCAGGACCGTGACAGATACACTAATGTAATTTGTATATGCATCAGTCAAACTTTTGGACACACCTCCTAAGTTTATAGGTGTTTCTTTTAAAAATGTAACTGTGGGAAATTTCAAAATTTCAACAACTTCAAAAGTTTATTTGTGTGCAAAATATTTGAATTCCATTATAAAACTTTAATAAGTCACTTTTACCACAGAGCATACATTTATTAAAGTTACCAGTAACTGGCATATTAAAGGTACTTAAAGGCATCAATGCTTTGGAGAGTTTAATAAGAAGACACATGTTAGCATTAGCAGTTCAGGCTAAATCGACCTTCAAAGTAATCTCTATTGACAGAGACTAATATGAAGAAGAGTTTAAAAGCAGCAACTACTTTGGCAAGAAACATCAAAGGAGTGGACTTTTTTTTTCTTTCCTGTGTCTGTCTGAGGTGCAGAGAAGAAGAACTGATAATCTACATGTGGTTTCCCCTCTGACGTTAGTGGGAGGTGGTGGGGTGGCGTGAGGTGAGAAAATATTTTAGTTAGCAGAAATGAAAATAAAACTTACACTTTTATAAAAACAAAAAATCAGTATCAAGGAAAATATCTGCGTTTCTACTGTAATGTAATGTAATTTCCTAGAGGACAGGTTTCAGTCTTTATCACTGCGCTTGCACAACCCACGTCAGTATACTTGATTAGTGAGAATTGAGTCAGCTGCTTTTAAAAGTGCTCGGTTTTATTGCAAAGCTCACTATGAACTTCTGAGAAATACACCTCTGATAAAATTCACAATTTAACCGCAAATGATTTCCATATTGTAATAATGAAGAACCCCCTCCACGTTCTTGCAACAATGCGAAGCTTTACTCAGAGAACAAAACGCACTTGATCCATCAACATTCACAACATTTAGCAGTTACACACCACCCAAGCTGTTTTGTGCTTAGTGGGGCCATTATTTGTCTTACAGCAGATTAGGCACCCTAAACGCATCTCCAGATGATCACATGGTTCTGGTCAGCTCATCAGATCACCCATCAGATTAACATGAGATGACTTCAACAAACTACAGCTGGGTTTTTTTTTTTTTTGTTTTAGCAACACTTTTAATTTGCAACTGAAGCCACTTCCTCCCACTTAAAACTGCAGGAAAACCTCTGACACCAGAGCTAACCAAAACAATGGCAACGATTACGCACACAAAAAAAAGTTTTAAGTAAAAGTTGTCTATTTTGAATAAAGTAACGTTTCAGGCACATTTCCTCTCTCTTTATTTATCACATACCTCCCAATATGTCCTATTCATGTATTTATTTTCATTTAAACTTTTTCATTCATTTTCTGGGTGGCACGGTGGTTAGCACTGTTGCCTCTCAGCAAGGCAGTCCCGAGTTCAATTCCACCATCAGGCCAGGTCTTTTGCATGCTTTTGCATCCTCCCAAAGTCCAAAGACATGCAGTTAGTGGGGTTAGGTTAATTGGAAACACTAAATTGCCCATAGGTGTGAATGTGAGTGCGAATGGTTGTCTCTAGCTGTGTCCCAATTCAGGTGAAGGTCTGCATCCTGTACGTGGGCCAGGGCCTCCGAAGACCGAGAAGGCCCAAAGTGCAAGGCTGTGAAATGGGACGGTCTAACCTTCAGATTTGCGTCACCAGCTGTCTCCCTTGCTATCTAAAATATAACAGGACACTGGGACAAATTCTAAATAATAATTTAATTAATAAAGTATTGAAAAGAGTAATAAGAGTAATATTACAACTAAGTAGCTGCTGCCACTTGTTGGAAACTGAAATTGGCTATGAATTCTGGGATAGGTTGAAGCACGAAGGATACACCCAACCCATGCTTTAAATTCAAGGAAATTAATTTGTTGGTCGCATTTGGTGCAGCCGAATTGGAACAGCCTTCATCACCTGGCTGTGCCTGGCTTCAAATGCAGCCCCTGAATTGGGACACAGCTTATGTATTAGCCCTGCGACAGACTGGCAACCTGTCCATGGTGTACCCAGGCTCTCACCCAAAGAAAACTGGGGTAGCTTTATGAATTTAGAATTATTGAGTCATTCTTTCCACTGATGTGGATTTTAAAAATACTCCATCTGGCTCTTTCGATGTTTTTGTTGTGCAGAAATGATCTGAAGCTCTTGCTTTGTTTTAGCAACAGATAAGTTATGCAAGAGTAACCACTTCCTATTTCAGAAGCTTCACTTTGCAAAAACAATGCATATACATGAACCTGACAGTCAGCTAATTTCTACAGCACTTTGTGTGTAGAACTACACTACCAGTAGGGACAAAGATCAACAAGCAGTGATGAGATAATGGATGTGGGCCATTGAAGATACAAAAACAGCAGTACCCAGATTGAAACGCTTCAAAATACATTTAGAAAATAGCTCATGTGACTCATTATTATGGTATTATAAGTCATGGATTAAAATAAAAGCAACATTTTTGAAGGTGCAAGTCATAAGTAAGTACTATTGATGTCTTTGGTCATCTCTTGTTGTATTTTGCAAGGAACTAGTGGTGTGATTTATTGAAACAGGTGCAAGCATACAAATAAATACAGTATATGAGGCAAAAACAGCATTTGTTATGACCGCTTTTGCTCTTCATTTCTGTATTCTCTTTCTTCATATTCTATATTATTCTTCATTTCGTCTGAGGTCTCTTAGGCAAGCTTCTTGTAATATATTTCCTTCAGACTTCATGAACAAGCTCTTCTTCAAGAGAGTTAGAGTGGGGCCTCATCTTTCCTCAGCCCTCAGCCTTAACACCGGCTCTCCACAAGGCTGTGTACTGAGTCCCCTACTGTACACTCTGTACACACATGACTGTGTTAGTTCCCACCCAGACAACGCAGTCATCAAGTTTGCAGATGATACCACCGTGGTGGGGCTCATCCCTGGGGGAGATGAGACGGCGTACAGAGCTGAAGTTCCGAGGCTGTCAGATTGGTGTGTAGATAACAACCTGGACCTCAATACCACCAAGACAAAAGAACTGGTAGTTGATTTCAGAAGGAGGAAGTCTGAGCTGCAGCCTGTCAGCATCAACGGGGAGTGTGTGGAAAGGGTCTCCAGTTTCAAGTTTCTGGGTGTGCACATAGACACAGACCTCCAATGGAGCTCTAACACCTCTGTGGTTTTAAAGAAGGCCCAACAGCATCTCCACTTTCTGAGAATCCTCAGAAAACCTGAAGAAGGAGCTGCTGACCGTCTTCTACCGCTGCTCCATTGAAAGTGTGCTGACATATTGCATCGGTGTGTGGTTCTCCAGCTGCACCACAGCACACAGAAAGGCACTCCAGAGGGTCATCAATATGGCCCAAAAAATCATTGGACATCCTCTTCCCTCCCTGAAGGACCTGTACAGCACTCGCTGTCTCAAGAGGGCACGCAGCATCCTACGGGACTGTACACACCCAGGACACGGGGTGTTTAAGCTGCTGCCGTCTGGCAGGAGGTTCAGGCTGCTGAGGTCCGGACCAAATAGACTCAAGGACAGCTTTTACGACAGGGCAATAGCCCTGATCAATGCAAATAGCTGATCTGACTGGCTACCTACCTGGACTTTTTTGGGGGGGGTTAACAACGGTAAAAACTGTAATAATAATTATATTTATATTTATAACAAGGTGCAATAATAATTAATGTGCAATAATAACGGCGTGCAATACAAATACACTTATTAATCTTTTTTATTACTAAGTTATTATACTGTGTTGTGTTGTTTGTGTTGCGTTGTGATGTATCGTATCGTGTCGTGTTATGTCGCAAAATCGATCAATGTAGAGCATTGTCACAAACCACGGAGGCCCCAGAAAAGTGCAATCAAACGTTGAGTTTATTAACAGCCCGGAGATAACATCAAGATACGCCTTCTGACCAAAATACATGTTGTGGTTACTTATAAAGCAGTGGGGTACACGCCCCCCCCCATGGCGTCAATGACAGATTAAAATAGGTTCCAGGCATTAGTCACAGTTTATCGTACATCTTTAATAGCTATAAACAGACATAGAACTTCTCTTTTCTATAACACCTTCCATACAAGGCAATAAACTTCAAGCCCTCGGGGTCTCTGAGGCTAATTATTGACTCTGATCATCTGTTACCAAGTAGAATAAAATATAGTAAGACACCAAATGAGTTAAGGCCTCAGGCCGGACACATTCCTAGATTATATGTATTATATGTACTGTAAGCATGCATTGCAGTTATCCTTCTATGTTCTAGTTTCCCTCAGCATGTATCACCTGGACAGTCACGCCAGTGAAGCTTAAGACCCTTAATGAACCGAACATCAACTCAAAATAAGCACAGATATGCAATGTGTATAAAATATTTCTAACCGTACTTGTAATAAAAGTTAACATAATGGTAGGATCCTCAAATGGACATCTTCAATAAACAACTGTAATGCAGTATCAATACTGTGAGAAATATTATTAGATGAAATAATGCTGTAAAGAATGTTATTAATGCAATTATAATGATGCAGATTATATGGCAGCAATAAAAGAATTTCTGTATCTCCACAGTTACATGTAGTGCCGACGTAGGACAGTTTTCCAATTTCATTGTACTATTGTACTATGTATGACTGCGCAATGACAATAAAGAGTTATCTTATCTTATCTTCTTTCCACCGTGTGATTTTTCTGACACACTGTCACATTGTCAGTGTGTTCGGGATCGTTTTCATGCTGAAAGTGAAGATGTTGTGAATCACGCATTTTCCAGATCTTATTGCATGCTGGTTTCAAATCTTATTTACAGATATTTTGAAAATATCTCAAACACCACTGACACGGCCTACACCGTGTTTCACAGATGGCTGTAGACATTCACTGTTCAAACTCTCTTTCCTGATCTTCTCCGACAATTCGGACCAGAAATTAAAAATTTGGATTGATCACTCCATTAGACCTCAGACTTTTCTCACTGTTTTGATCCTCAGCGACCCTTCCACTGAAAACATTTCGCTTTCAGTTCCTGTATCAACTCTTTGCTGGATTTTTTGTTGTTTCTTAAGAACATGACTTCTAGAAAGTGTTCATCTTCTGTAAATAGGTTTTTAGGTCTGAAACTTTTTCTTTTGTCCTCCAATATTCCAGTCTCCAGGTTGACCAAGAAGTGCAATGTCTTAAAAATCATAAGTACTCAAAAAGCTGGATTAATATAACTTGAGTTGAGATGTAACTTCACATTCAGTCAGGAAAAGATTGATGTTGCAGTCTCGGGCAGGGGGCTGCAGCTGCTCTTTATATGGATTTAAGGCTGTTGTGAGTGAGACCTGGGATTTTTTTATCAGTGGCTGCGGCTCAGGTGGTAGAGTGGGTCATCTGGCAGTCAGAAAGGCAGTGGATCAGTCCCTGAATTCTCCAGTCCACGTTTCTGATTGGAAGCTCAAGCTTCAGTCCATTTTGTTTATCACTCTTCTCATTTGTGTTTATGTATATATATTTTTTTGTTTGCTTTTTGCTCGTATTGCCAGGCAGTGGAAACACTGCACACAGTTTCCCCTGTATGGAAGATTGAAGAGTCCAATTATTATTTCTCTCTTTTTGTTGATTATTTGTATAAAGGAACTTTAAACTTCCCTTCTCTCAGTTTGCCAGTCTTTTACTTCCCCCCCACTTTCACCTATATTTTAAAGTACCACAGTGATTCATTTTTCTACCTGTTAGCCAGAGGTAACTGCAGTATTTGCTTCTTGTTTATCTCAAACAACATGCTGCCTGTCCTTTTTCTCCTTTTTATTTCCTTTGAGGGTACAGGTAAGCACATTTCTTCCATTTAATTTTAAAACAGAATCTAGAAAGTGGACTTCTAATGCTTTGTCATGAATAATTTTTGCCTCTTATTTTGTCTGCACTTATAGCCCAAAACCAGACTCTGAGTTCCCCGACAGCTCCAGTGACTCACAAAGGTAATACAGACTCTGAACTTTTGGAAGGATAGATCGAATCAAATGATTGAAATTAAGCTGGTGGCTCTGTGAACCTAAACATTGCTGTGTACTGCAGTATTTTGAGCTGTTCAATAACATGTTACACCCTTCTTATGATTTAACATTTGATAATTAAAACTAAACATTAAGTGGAACAGAGGATCTGAACTATCTTTGGCATTGAAGGTAATTAAACCTGACCCAAAATATTCGACAAGACAAACATTTTATGATGACAATGGAAAGTTATTAAAGATCATCCTGTTTTAGGCATGGATATCCAAACTAAATGAGCTGCTTAACAGTTTTTCACATATTCAAATATAAACAACAAAGGGAAAACCCAGGAGGATCACCTAAGTTACTGGAATAAATCCTATGTGATCGTGTGCAGTTGACTTGCCAGATATTATTGACATATTTTACTGAGTTTGGTCAACAGCAATGCTTTACAAATGGCACCACATTAAAAGCTAGAAGATCACTAAAGCAGTTAGGACTTCGTCTTCATCACCATGGCTTGCTTTACCTCTTATGAAGAAGAAGAGTTTTTGAATATTTCACTGGGGGGAAAAAAACTGTACAGTGGCACAAAAAGGGAAAAAAAACATTCAAGTTCAATGACTTCATTCTCTGAATGAGTAAATCGAGTGACCAACAGACCAACACTGCTATTTCTAGAACTATATCGCTTTTGTGGTCAGCAAATAGTTTATATGTACGCATTCAGCATGCAACATCTATGTCCTGCTTAAAAATGTGATTGGTTACAGTTTTACCTCAACTTCCTGTTATTTCTGCACTCTCCTTCACAGAAACATTTCCTCCTCTATGGGTGGTGGCCACGCCGGACTACCCGGTTGCAGCAGGACAAAAAGTAAGCCTGTACTGCAGCAGTTCCATAATATCAGTGACTGGGACTTGGTCATGGGTACGCCTGCGAAATCAGACCTGGGAAAAAGAGGGAAACAGTAGGGAACTGATCCTGACCAAGCCAGAGCAAAGTGGGGAGTACCGCTGCTGTTCTTCAGTTGTCAACTGCGCAAACCAAACCTACACAGTTTACATCATTTCAACACAAACCACAGGTTGGTTATGTGTTTGCTCACACCCTAAACTTACTAAAATAGGGATGATCGAATCTGCTTATTTAAAAAATAAATAATAAATATTAGAATTGCCTAAATAGGACCTAAATGCATATTTATGTAGATAAATAAATGAATAAAAAATAATAATTTGAATGGTACATTTAATTAAATACTCGACAATTAATACACTTTAGGTGTATTTACTTGTGTTTTGAGTAATTTATATTTATTCCATAAAAACCTGGAAAAAATCTTTAAGGCTTTCACTTTTAAACTGAAATAGCGAACTGTAAAATGATTATCATACAATGGATAGCAATCATGACTGACTGGATTCATTAATCTTTTATTTATGCTGGGTGCGTCATCTGGCTGTGAAGTTACAAGTCTTAATGTCTCTTTTCTCTTTCCTCAACTCCCAACAGTGGGAGAGAATTTAGGAATAACAGCCTTCGTCTTTTCTCTTCTGATCTTGATCATCATCATCATCGCTGCTGTTATTTTTTTCTGGCTGGGCTTCCAAAGGACCAGTGGAACAGTGACCACCTCCAGCACTCCAGCAGTTAAAGGTATCTCTGAGCTCTTCTTGTATAGAGGGCTACAAGTATGGAGGGCAATGAGTGCCATAATCAGTATGAATTAAAATGTTTTGTGACTCTTTTTTTTTTCTTTTTTCTTTAAGATGTTCCTGGACCTGAAATTACACCAACGTAAGTCTTGAGAGAAGAAGCATGCACACTTCAGTCATGCACTTTAACTCTTGCTACAAGCTATTCACAGATAATATTTCTGTTTACACTAGGGGAGATCTTCCACAGCCTGACACCGACGTGTACATAAACTACACTAGCCAAGGCTACGCCGATGTGGAACCCGCCAATGTGACCTGGGAGGGTGTGTACTCAAGTCTCTCGTGAAAGGAGATCGAGACATGCAGTGGAAAGTGGACTGATTAAAACAAGCCTGTTTTTTTTTTTTTACTCTATCTCTGGGTTAGTTATATGAAAATTGCCAGTGAGTTTACTTCCTGACTTATCAGATTTTATCTGTTGCGCAGAAGCTATCACACCATAAATGTGGTTAAAACCCAGAGAAGCTGAGTGCATCTACGCAGGCGATAGCGTTTGTACGTTTATATATTAACTGGAAGCTTCTTGTTTTTCTTCTCCTTTTAATCGTGACATTGCAAAACTGAAAAACATACAAAAGATTTTCAAATTTTAGGGAGTATTTTTGTTTGTTTGTTGTTTTTTACAATATATAATAACAAAAAGGTTCAAGTCAATAGAAAATACAAAATTTGCGACAACAAAAAGTCTCACGTTAGAAACAATTCATTTCCACAGATACACATTAAATACACATACGTACGCTACTTCTGTCTGTTTCAGTGAATTATAAGATTTCAACACAAGACATAAATGAAGTGTCCCAACACTGAACACCAGAGAGGAAACGTACCCCAGGCATTACTGCTTTTGTTCCTTGGTGTCACAATACCTGATTTAACTTGCCTGATGAAAAAAAATTAAAGTTGTTCTCAGAGAGGACAGACAGGGCGATTACAACACATGTTGCTGACATAACATCAGACGTGTAGAGATAAGGTGTACCCACATATGTATGTTATTCTGTCATTTTCTCCTGCTTTTGTGTCCTAATGTTGTGTCAAACACCGCCACAGGATTTGTGTGAGAAGATGTCTTGTGTCATCATCGAGTGATGCTATTGTTCTTTAAAGATACATAAAGTTTTGGCTGCTTGCAAAACTTCTGCTTTTCGGTTTGTTCTTCACACAGGAAGTGCAGAAATTCTGGGGCAACTCAGAAGGCGACGTGTTCGAGATCACATGAAGTTAAACAGTTTATTGTCCCAGATGTGCATGCCTCAACGCCTTATTGCATGTAATCTTCGCCATCAGCATGAGAGAGTCACATGAGTTTGATAGTCAGATTTTAGACATGTATTGAACTTGTATGAATCACTCATCTCTGGTCAGCTAGTGCTCGCTTGGGAGTCTCTGACTTGGAATCCTGCTATCCATGGAAATCTGTGTGGTGGCCATTTGAGAGCATCCCTCTCCCTTTGCTAATTTTTTAATGTGGGCTGTGATGAACCTTCTAAACTTCCCTGTGGCAAAATAATAAACTACAGGATCCAAAATGCAGTTGAGGCCCATAAGAACCAGGGTGATCTGATGAGCGTCGTTCAGCAACTGACGAGTGGTCTTGCTGTACTTCACGTGGCCGAAGCCGTCTTCGATCTCCAGCACTGCCAGAGCCCAGGGGCCTTGAACTATATGGTGTGGCAGGAAACACAGGACAAACACTCCTACCACTGCCCACAACATCTGGAGAGCCCTCCGTTTCACCCCTCTGGGCCTTTTTAAAGTCGAGGATGCAGTGGACTTTTTAGAAAGAGCTGCTGAGGACCGAATTTCTGATTCTGGAGGCCTTTGAGAAATTAACACTCGAGCAATAAGGATATTGCATATCACAACGAGCAAAAAGATACCAAAGAACAATCCAATTATTAAAAAATGAGTGACAGCCACTTTTTTCTTCTCATAATTAGTTTTACCCTGGTATCCCTCAAAGCAGCGAAGGATCTTCGTGTTGTTTTTAAAGTGCTCGTTGGTCCCTGGACTCACCAGATAAGGGACAGACATCGCCAGAACAAATGCCCAGATAAAAACACAGACGATGATTCCACGAATTCTGTGGTCCGAAGAGGCTGCGTCTAGAGGCCGAGTCACCGCCCAGTATCTGTTGATGCTGATGGCTGAAAGGAAGAGGATGGTGCCGTAAGTGTTGATGAAAAAGAAGGCGCCTGTCACCCGGCACATGACGTCTCCATAAACCCAGTCTCCCTCACGGATATAGTAATCAATCAAAAAGGGAAGAGCACACACAAACAGAAGATCAGCAATGGTCAAGTTGGTCATGTAGATACGGATTTCTCCCATGGCCTTGGCTTGACGAAGGCAGCGCAGGACAAACAGTACGTAGAGGTTAGAGATGAAGCCCAGGATGAAGAAGACGATGTAGAAAACCGGGATGAGCACATAACGAAACTGAGAGTCCAGGAAAGTGGATTCATTGGTATTCCCTATAGTTTCATTCATCTTTGCCTGTGGGACACAACATATATTATCATCAGTACAATGGTTTACTCAGACTTTTGATGCAGATGAGAAAGGTAGGGTATATTAGAAAGTAGAATCTTTGAGAACAACTACTTTTTGTGATATTTCAATTTCAGTATAGAGAAAAAGCAAAAAAAGTAAATGAGTAAGAAAGATTTAAAATAAAGAAAGAGGGCACTTTCCTTGCTGCAAGGACTAAGTTATCTATCACCTTTTATTGGCACAAATGTATTTACCAGATAAATTATTAGCCATTCCATACATTTATTGTATTAATTAATTTCTTGTTATCTGAGCACATCTTCTGAAATTGTCAGGTAATTCTAAGCAGTCTGAGAAGTCTTAACATTTCTTTGTGCTATGAATCATATGTTCCAAATTGATGTAATGGCACAGAAGTATGATACGTTTTAAACTGGAGACCATCTTGCCAGGAAACAACAGAAGCATGAAATCACTGAGTTGCTGGACCGCACCCATATTTGAACATACGCTTCATGTGAAGTTTTGTGGCCATGTTTTGCACAGCTGTAGTTTTATCATAGTAATATAATCTGTGTCCGAACAAATACCTCAACACTCTGTATAAAAGGGCCTGTTGGGACTTTATCTGCCATAGACTTCTTATTACTCATCTAAGATCTAACTCTCAGTCAAAGTCTTTATAGGTAGAGTCATTAATCGGCATCTTGCAGTAACACTATACATCATGAAGCCTTTAAAAACTCAGTTGCAGACCACGAGGGAAAGATTGAGGTTGGATTTGTGACTGTTTTATGTTCATTTTATCTTTGGTTTTGCCACTAAGACTAAAATGGTTATAGAACTTGAAGCTGCTGATAGTGATCACTCTGGCATGACTTGAATTCATTCAAAGACAAGCATCAGAATTAAAACTGAAAGTAGTGCAAAAGGTCAAAGATTGAAAAAAGATGTGGTTCTCAGACTTTAATCTGCTGTAAAGGAGCTGACACTGATTGGAGGTGCAAACTCTAAACACCTAAAGATGTTCGAGGAGAATCTGTCACTGAACAATGGGATTTCACTCGGTGGGGCGAATGTGTGAACAACAAATTACAGACAAGCTTGACACCCACTTACAATAAAGAACAGTAGTCCAACAGTAAATGAGCTGTGATGCTGTTTGATAAACTGACACACCCTTGTTACTGGGAAATAGCTGACACTGCTAAATACTATCAGCTTGTGAACAAATTTAACTGAGTACCATTTTTACAGCACTTTTTTCTGAATAAGTGCCAAAGGTGTTTATTTTATAACCTGTTTGGATCTGTCTTATGCAGATCTGTTCAGAGAAACCTGTTTAACGGTTTCCTCTGAACAACCAATGACCTCATAACCAGTCAAGGAGTGTGACATAGAAACATTTCCTTTTGTCAACTATTAATCATCAATTTAATATTGATTTAATTAATCACAGCATTGTAAAGACTGTGGACCCCTCCCCCCAAAAAAATAAATAAATAAATAAATAAATCCATTTATAGATTTGAGTAGAGCAGCAGTTAATTCACAAACAGCTGTAAGGTACTCTGTTTCAGATATTACAATTATTTTTCAATTACCGATGTCATCAAACGGAGTTAATTGCACTATAATGGCTAGTCCATATTTACTGATCCGGTTAATATTGGATGATGTACTGTAATTAATAGTTACGTTAAAAATTTTGAGCAAAACACTGCCTCCTCTAAAATCTTAATTTAAACAGATATGAAGCTACGAAATGAAGAAAGGAGGCACAGCAGAAACAGAAAAATGCGATTAATTTGAATAAATGATAAACTGACGATTTTTTCCAAGCAAAATAAAAACTGAACGATTTGTGAAAATAAGGATGCTTTTACCTTTGCTGTCTTCTCTTCTTTACTAAAACATATTATTAGACCGATGATTAATATCCTCACTCACTTTGTCACGTAAAACGAGAAATAACGAGGAGAACTGTACACTTACACAACTGCTTCTTCTGTTTTCAGTCTCCTGATGCGCGTAAACACTTTGAATGGATTTACAGCTTCAGTTCAGCAACAGTGCGACTTCTCTGAGAGAGGGGGGGTTTGTGCGTCTTGTGAGCGTGTGAGTGGGAGTGTTCTCTCTGGGCAGAGCGGAGGAGGTGTCGTTTCAGTCTTCTTAGGAAAGACCCGAGTTGCGCAATACAAGGAACATTAAGCTATACGATTTCACGGTTCCCGTGAAAAGGAATAGGAACCCCCGCTTTAATGCAACGCTGGAGTTTTAACATTTTTTTTCCATAGAAACATCACGTGTGCGATATGAGTAAAGGAATCAGGAAACTATGTCCTAGGGGCTAATTAAAATCAGCAGAGAAAGAAAAGATTTTTCTGAGTTATAGAAATGAACTGCAGAGGAATTTCGTCATGACTGCGACACGCTGATGAGACATGAAGTGATATACAGTTATTATGTTATTATAAGTCTGCGTATGAAAACTTACATTTTACTCATGTATCCGTTCAAACAATGCAACAATTCCAATTTCAAGAATCACGAACTGGGAAGTCGCCGTAGGCTGATGCTGCATTCAATGGATAGTTTATCTTGTTGTGGTTTTTAAATGCTTTAAATGTGCCCCCAATCTGATGTGAACAAGTGAGCAGACAAAAGAAGTTGCCTTTTTGTGTATTTATTTAGAATATTAAAAATGCAAAGTGAACTGATAATACTAGAATCTTGTTCCACATTTTCAACACACACTAGATTCCTCCATCTACATCCATCCATTTTGTCTTGAACATTTTGTACATAGCTACTAACGTTTTTCAATTAGTTTGGGTCGCAAAATGTGGTTGAAACATAATTTATTTTGTTAAAAAGGTTTTGCATTTGCTTTCATTTATCAAAATCACTGGCATCCCCAAACGTGGACATGAGATGTCCTTCAGCAGTGTTCAGTGTGAAAACCACAGCAAGACTAGACCTGTCCAGTAGTTTTGGTGCCTAAGCATGTCCCAACAGCTAGAGTGAAACAACGAAATACTGAGTGGAAGCCTGATTTCTCCATGTTTAGTTCAGCATCACTTTACTAAGAATAGTTATTCCCCTGCAAATCCTGTGAATGTCTTTTTTTGGTGGTGTTTGAGAAATTTGCAGCCTTCTCCTCTATTTGGCATTGTTTCTTTTACGAATTTCTTTAGAAAAGAGAATCTAATAGTTGTCACATTCACAGCCACAAGCCTCACTCTGCTGTACAAGGGCAAACAATGTTATACACTGGTGATTGTGATTGTTTCGTACTCAGAGTGCTCAGAGCTGGAAATATCAAAGTTCAAATACTGTTAGTAGAATTTTAGTAGAATTTTCAGGTATCAATATTGTATTTGAGTATTTATTTTTCTGACAGTTTTTTATATTTATTCCCCACATTTTACCACAAATATCTGTATTTTCTACTCCTTACATCTTCAAAATAGGCTCATTACATAAGTTTAACACGTTTGAGGAAAGTTTTTATTTAACAGAATGATACAGACACAACAGTGCAATATAATGTGCAAAAGACTGAGTATTGTGCAAAAAGTAACTAGTTGTATGAATGTGTGTGTGTATAAGATTCTGCAGATGAGTGCTTGGTAGTGACGTGTATGAAGGTATGCGTGTGTTTTTGTCATTCCCGTCACTGAGTGTTCAGCAGTCTGACGGCCTGGGGGAAGAATCTGTTTCACAGTCTGGCAGTGAGGGCCCGAATACTCCGGTACCTCTTGCCAGAAGCCAGCAGGGTGAAGAGTGTGTGAGAGGGGTGTGTGGGATCCTCCACAATGCTGGTGGCTTTGCGGATGCAGCGAGTGTGATAGGTGTCTGTGATGGCTTCAATAATCTTCTCCACTGATCTCACCATTTGTTGTGGGGTATTGTGGTTTGATACGCTGCAGTTACCATATCAGACAGTGATGCAACTGCTTAGAATGCTCTCGATAGTCGCTTTGTAGAAGGGGGTGAGAATGGGTAGTGGGAGGTGGGCTTTTCTCAGCTTCCGCAGGAAGTAGAGACGCTGTTGGGCCTTCTTAATTATGCAGCTGGTGCTGAGGGACCGGGAGAGGTTCTCCGCCAAGTGAACATCAAGGAATATGGTGCTCTTGACGACTTCCACAGAGGATCCATTGATGTTAAGTGGACAGTGATCTCTCCATTCTCTCCTGAAGCCAACAACCATCTATTTTGTTTTGTCCATGTTCAGAGACAGGTTGTTGACTCTACACAGGTCCGTTAGCTGTTGCACCTCCTCTCTGTATGCTGACTCATCGTTCTTACTGATGAGACCCACCACAGTCGTGTCATCGGCGAACTTGATAATGTGGTTTTAACTGTGCATTGCTGCGCAGTCGTGAGTCAGCAGAGTGAACAGCAGTAGGTTGAGCACACAGCCCTGAGGGGCTCCAGTGCTCAGTGTGGTGGTGGTGTTGGAGATGGTGGTGTTCATCACAGCCCTCTCTGAAAAGAGTGAGCGATAACCTCACTCAGAGATGGAGAGAGATGTAAGAAAGTCAGGAGAGGAAGAAGAGAGGTTATATTTAAAAGTAAGGACTGCTCAGTAGCATTTGATAAACTGGAAATTTAAAGCTGTGTTTTGTAAAACAAACTGAGGTATGCTAAATTTGTGTTGTTCAACAGTTTCATGAAAATACAAGGCAGTGTTGTGAAGGATAAACAGGTTAGTTTGCTGTTCTGTGGTGAATATGCAATGATGCATTGTGTTTTGTGACTGTTGCACAGCCATGGTCAGAGTTGATTAACAGATATCTCCCTGTTGATGTTGTACTTGTATCATCAAAATAATGTTGCTCCAGGATCAACACTGAAACTGACCAATTAAGTTGTTGTGATGTAATAGGGGAAAAAGGAAAAAATGCTCTTGTTTATATAAAACTCTCTTTCTGAAACAAATGGTAAGCATCTCAAGTGTTTTCTTTATATACTTATGCAATATAACAAACATATTGTGATTCTTTCCCCCATGCTGAGCCACTGCAACCAATCTTAGAGTTGCCAAACTTTGCGTAGATATAGATGTAACACTGTCTGTGAGGCCGGATTTAAGAAATAAGTGCTTAAAATTAACATTTTTAGAACGTGTTTAGCACCATCTTGTGCTAGTACAGAACATCACATCACCGAGTGAAGGTTGGTTGAGGTTAATGAACTTACATAAACTTTGCTAACTAGTGATAGAACCGATAACTCAGTGGAAAACAAGGGGACTAAAACTAACAAGCACTCTGTACCGGCCCTGACTCCATTAGTTTTACGTTAAGAAACTGAGGATATACTGTCTCTTACTAAGTCTCTTACTTTCTTTCAAGATAAAGCAGGTCTTTAATTTGCCCAAATTAAAACCAGAGTCGCTTTAAGTTTCTGGGATGTTTTTTTTTTTTGGCTGTTTTTTTTTTTAATCTTCTGCATCATACATTTCATTAATGTCTGTGATTAATTTACAAGCTGCCAGGCATCTAATTTCACACGTTTCTGTCTCATCAGTGAGTCATAATTGCAGCTATTAGTCAGAATGATGACAGTTAATCAGCTAGTTTAAATAAAGATCCGATTGATGTTTTGTTTGATTTCATTAGCATATTTTCATCACTCCAAATATAACACATCAAAGATGTCCACAGGCATTTTGTGGGACAGTTTTTGTTTCTTTGCCTTCATTTAATGTTGACAAAACATAAAAATGATATAGCAACATATACAAATTCACCCTGTACCTGTACATCTTTTTTACTGAGAGAAGTTCAGGAGGCAATTTATCAGTTCACATTATTTTAGGTAACAATTTAGAGATTCAGGATGCACAACTGTGGATCTCTCAGTGTCAGGACACAGAGAACTGGAGAACAATTCGTAATTCAAAGCACATATTAGACACATTGAAACAGAAAACATTTGTGGGGAGAGGCCCTGGTTTAGACTTAGCACTCCCTGATTTGTTCTCCTCGTAGTCCTTCCTCATGGCAATGGTCTTTGACCTCCAGTCAGGGATCCTGTCCTGTGTGACTCCTCCCTACTCTACAGTTGTTATTGTTACTGTAGTTTCATTTCCATGCAGTTGTCAGCTTTACCAACAACTATCATCACTACTGGAACAGGATGTTATCATACACCCACACACGGCTTGTAAGCGTTTAACAGTTTCACTTTCAACACTTCACACTCCTGTCTCTTAGTCAACCCTTCACACTGTGAGGGTAATGCTTTATCCTTCTAACAAGGAGTGTTTCCACAGGTTACCACAAGCATTCAGTTCCATCAAGTAACTCTTTTACACGGGTTGGGAACTTCAGGCCTCAAGGTCCGATGTCCTGCAGGTTTTAGATATCACCCTGGGTCAACACACCTGAATCAAATGATTAGTTCATTACCAGGCGTCTGCACAAGTTCCCCACCCCTCCTCTATTAAGTGAAGAAAATGTTAACCCTCATTGTAGGCATTCAATCAGAATGGAAGAAATTAATAAAGGCTTAGGTCATCTGATCAAATTAGATTTCATGTTTTTATTTACAAAAACTTTCAGAGAAAACAACTTCCACAAGATGATGTGTCATAAATGACATATTTCTTGTATTTATATTAAAACCAGTTATTGGTACAGGTCCGTTAGAGGTATAGGTCAATATGTACAACACTGTGAAAAAGTCTTGAGCTACAGCTTGTTTCCTTATATTTTGAAAAAGAAGATGGACAAGGGCAGAGGTTAATTGAAGTATGTGCAAATATGCATGAAAATACAGTATAAAAGGCAAAACACGAGTGTCCATAATTCTAACAACAGCAAAAGTTAATATTTTACAATACCACAATTATTCTTTAATACACCTTAAATACTCTTTAAGTAATCTTCAGGAATAGTTTCCATGTTTCTTCAAAACTTTGGATGTTGACTCTCAGAATGATCCCACATCTTTACGGGATGTTAGTGCAGTTTGAAGATCACACTGCTTTCTTTACAGCCACTGAGATAAGTGAGCAATACTGCATTTAAACCACGTGATGGAGGCAGAGACTAATAAAAGCACAGTAGGGGAGTCTTTCAAGAAGGCTCTATACAGTGGATTGTGAACTGCGTGAACCACCGCTCTGACTCACTGTAGATTTAAGCAGCACCAGCCTCCCTCTGTGGTAAATGGTTAACTCCACGTGTACAAGCACACAACACCATATATCCTCCTCTCCCTGATTCCGGAGTATAATTCCTAGAATAAGGCTAACAAGCCTCTCCAACCTTTAATGTGGACATGCTCTCCATTTCATCTCTGTCATGAAATGGAGAGAATCTTATCTGAGATGTGGTTTGGTTCAAAATCCTGGATCAGTGAGATTTTTGAAAATACTTTATAAAATAACCAATGAGTTCCTCCTACCATGTTGACTTTGGTCCTCCACCCCAGCCGTTGTGGGTTTCCTATGAGGCCTCTGATTTGCTACCAGAGTCCAAACAGGTGATGCAGGCTGGTTTAAGTGGTAGCTCCGAGTTTGGGTGAATGTGATTAATTTTGTAATGTGGGCCTTGATTTGTCCTCTAAACTTCCCTGTGGCAAAATAATAAACTACAGGGTCCAAAATGCAGTTGAGGCCCATAAGAACCAGGGTGATCTGATGAGCGTCGCTCAGCAACTGACGAGTGGTCTCGCTGTACTTCACGTGGCCGAAGCCGTCTTCGATCTCCAGCACTGCCAGAGCCCAGGGGCCTTGAACTATGTGGTGTGGCAGGAAACACAGAACAAACACTCCCACCACTGCCAGCAACATCTGGAGAGCCCTCCGTTTCACCCCTGTGGGCCATTTAAATATGGATGTCACAGTGAGCTTTTTAGACTGTGTTCCTGAAGACTGACTTTCCGACTGAGGAGAATTTTTACAAACTAAAATTCGAGCAATAAGGATATTGCATATCACAATGAGTAAAAAGACAACAAAAAACAATCCAATTATTAGAAAATGAGTGACAGCCACTTTTTTCTTCTTGTCATTAGTTCCACCCTGGTATCCCTCAAAACAGCGACGTATGTCGGTGTTGTTTTTACGGTGCACGTTGATCCCTGGACTCACCAGAAAAGGAACAGAAATCGTCAGAACAAACACCCAGATACAAATACAAACAATAATTCCACGAATTCTGCGGTTTGACGAGGCTGCGTCTAGAGGCCGAGTCACCGTCCAGCATCTGTTGATGCTGATGGCTGAAAGGAAGAGGATGGTGCCATAGGTGTTGATGAAAAAGAAGGTGCCTGTCACCCGGCACATGACGTCTCCATAAACCCAGTCTCCCTCACGGATATAATAGTCAATCCAAAAGGGAAGAGCACACACAAACAGAAGATCAGCGATGGTCAAGTTGGTCATATAGATGTGAATTTCTCCCATGGCCTTGAATTGACGAAGGCAGCGCAGGACAAACAGCACATAGAGGTTAGAGATGAAGCCCAGGATGAAGAAGATGATGTAGAAAACCGGGATGAACACATAACGAAACTGAGAGTCCAGGAACGGACTCTCAGTGGAATTAATGGTTGTGGACTCCACACTACTCATCGTTGTCATAGTAACTGATTGAGTCATCCTTGTCTGTGGGAAACAAAATACATTACCATAAATACAGTGTCCTGTGACAGATGAGCAGAGTTTTGATGCAGATGACAAAGGTACAGCGTACAATGGAGGGAAAAGCCTTTGAGAATAACTTATTTTTGTTGTCCTTCCATTGAAGGCAGGTATAATAAATAAAAGCAACAAATAAATAAAAACAACAGTAAATGACTACAATAGGTTTAAAATAATGAAAGTAACAAGCAACAACATTTTTCCTGCTTCAAGGACTAAGTTGTGTATCAGTATTTATTTGTAAAAATGTATTTACCAGTCAAATATTGTGTCCCTTTCATCACCTTTTTAGCCATTAAATTAATTTCAGATGTATTAATGTATACACCAATCAGGCATAACATTATGCCACCTGCCTAATGTTGTGTTCCTCCCCCTTTTGCTTCTAAAACAGCCATGAACCATCCAGGCATGGAATCCACTAGACCCCCAGAGGTGTGTATCTGGCACCAAGACAGTAACAGATCTTTGAAGTCCTGGATGAAGTCATGGATCTGACTTCATCCAGGACTCTCAAACCACTGCTGAACCATTTTTGTGTTGTGGCAGGGCGCTTTATCCTGTGTTGGGATGGGATTATTTGAAGTGCCTCAGTTCTATGCTTTATATTAACTAAAATGCCATATAACCATATAGCGTGGTATTAAGTGGACACGGCCCTGAAAATAAAGGCAATAGACGTGTCCTTGGGGGGTAGAACGCTGTAGACTCTTGCTCACGCTTGGCTGGGAGAGAGTACATAACGGGGACCATCTTCTAGTGGAAAGTTACTGAGACACTGTTGTTCAGACTAGAGAGGGACCAGCAGGCACCTAGTTTTGAGAAAACAAAACTAGGTGTAGTTTAATGTAATTTAAACTACAGTAGCTCACCACTGTTTAGTCTTCTAGTTTCTAATTCGTTTTTATTTTTAATTCATTTTGACTTTTTGCTTTAAATTCACTCTATTTTCCATTAGTTTCTATAGTGGATTTTGGTTTTTACTGTTTTTTAGTTATTATTGTATGGAGGGCATATGTCAGAGGAAGGTCTTAGGAAAAGTAGTACAAGTATCCAAGTGTTTCCTCTATATTTGTATTTTATTTTAGTTACTTTTCCAAGTTCAACAAAATGTTTCAGTTAGTTTACTTTTTTTTTCAAAAGTTTTCAAAAGTGGTTTTTTTTTCACAGATAATTATAATAGGCTACTGACAGCTGTACACCCCATAAGAGCTGCATTTCTAACTCAGTTGAATAACCATAAAAGGTCATCACTTGTTTAAATCCTTACATTTGCCCATTTTTCCTGCTTCTAACACATCAACTTTGAGGACAAAATGATCATTCACTCCTTCATGTATCACACCCACTACTTTGTGCCGTAAGGAACAGATAATCATGACAATGTCTGATCTGTGTATATTTCCACTATCTTCACTCCTTCTCATCTGTTTTCACTTCTTTTATTTCCTTTTTAATTTTTTTTCTGTTCTCCCTTCTTCCATTATCTTAAATAATGTAATAAAAGGCTAGTTGAGCAAATTTTCTGGAGACCATCCTGCAATTGGATTCTCGGGCCACACCTATATTCGAACAAAGGCTTTGTGAAGTGTTGTGTTTTATCATGTTTATGTAATCTGTCTCCAAACAAACATCTCAACACTCTTTATAAAAGAGACTGTCAAGACTGTTAGCACTAGGTATCTGCCATAGCCTTTTTATTACTGAATCAATTAACTCTCAGTCAAACACTTTATAGGTAGACACACAGACTCATTCATCTGCATCTTATAATAACACTATACATCATGAAGCCTCAGTTGTAGACCATGAGGGAAAGACTGGGGTTGGATTTCTGACTTGTTTATGTTCATTTTATTGCTTACGCTAAAGTGATTACAGAACTAGAGATCTCTCTCACGTGGCCTGTATTCAGTCAAAGATAAGCGTCAGAATTAAAACAGAAAGTAGTGCAAAAAGGGTCAAAGGTTGAACCAGGACGTGGTTCTCAGACTATGAACTGCTGTAAAACAGCTGACACTGAATCACAGTGCAAACTCTTACAACCTAAATACATACAAGGAGAATCTGTCACTGAACAAGCTTGAAACCCACTTACGATAAAGAACAACAGTCCAACAGTAAATAAGTAGATAATAATCTCTGTTTGTTGTTAGTTTTACTGTATTTTTTTCTTAATATGTGCCACACTGAAATTATCAAGCGTAACTGTAATTGCTTTATCAATGGTTAGTTGATGTTACATGACCTGCTGTGATAATATATCCTCTGTGTCATTTTAAAAGAAAAATTACAGAAAGAACCGTACACTTACCGTCTGCTTCTTCTGTTGTTTAATGAATTTACAGCTGCAGTTCAGCAACAGCATGACTTCTCTGACAGAGAGGGAATTTATGCATCAGACTGTGTGAGTGGGAGTGTTCTCTCGGGGCAAGACGGAGGAGGTGTCGCTTCAGTCTTCTTAGGAAAGCCCCAAATGGTCCAAAATACGTAAAGTTCACCTCCACAGTTTCATACACCTGACAATAACAAGCACCAAGAAGAACAACAACAAAGAAATGATGTTACCAAGTAAAGAAATGAGCTGCTTACACAGGATAACTGGCCCTTAAAAGGAGAATGTCTGGCACATGCTGATACGAGACATAAAAATGTGGGGGTTATAGTTGTTAGTTTGTGTATGAAAAGTCATTGCCACTATTCACAGATCTTGGTTACATGTAATTTTCTTAAAAAATAAAATAAAATGCTGCAAAATGTGTTACCGATTATTTTAAATCACCCTAAAATAAAACAGGAACCAGAGTAGGAGCAGGCCCTGTGTCGCTGTGCCAACCTTCTTCCATCATATACATAAGCATAAACTTACAGAAAGAAGGAGGAATATATTATTTAGAAATAGTGTAAAAACTTTACCGTGAACAGGTGTATCTGCCAAACACTGAGCTTCTCTTGTCTATCAGGCCGTCACCTGCCGAGGGAATTCCCGCAGATCAACGTCACCGTTAATTACGTCCATCCGAAAGCAAATTCGAAGATTGCGACTGACACGCCCGTGTACTCGCTCCAATCCCTCTGTCCCGAGGCCCCTAATGTTATTCTGTTGGACTTTAATTACTGTAATTTGAAGAAAACACTGGGCACTTTCTATAAATATGTCAATTCTCCTACACGCTTCTGGATCTTTGTTATGGTTCCATTAAAGGTGCGTATACATCTGTGGCAGGCCCCGCACTCAGATCCTCTGACCAAAACACGGTGCATCTCCTGCCTGTTTATAGGACTGTGCTGCGGAGAGAGAAGGCGAGGAAACACCCCACAAAGGTATGATAACGACGTCTCTTTAGACCTGCAGGGCTGCTTTGCCTGCACTGACTGGTCGGTGTTTACAGAGTCATCCGAAAACATTAATGAACTGATCAACGTTATCTGCAGCTTTTGTAGAGATATGATTATTCCTTTAAAAGTTGTGCATAGTTTTCCCAAATAACAAACCATGGTCTTCGAGGCTGATTCATGAAAGGAAGACAGCTTTTATTGAAGGGAATATCTCTAAGGTAAAAAAAAAAAATTACAAAGGAGATATGAGTTTGTTTCTTGGTGTTATCAGTCGTTTTTAAATTTCAACACCTTGAAAACTAAGGACATGGTAATTGAATTCAGGAAGCCATCCCCTCATCGTGCAATGACAGTAGTAAATGGTGCAGCCATTTAACTGGTGGATAGCTATAAGTATTTGTGGGTTATTCTTGTTATTGCTCCGTCCTTTGAGTCACATTTTGCTGCTACATTGAAAAAAAATGTCCAACAACGACTGTATTTTTTTTAAGGAGATTGAGAGTTTTTAATGTTTCATCTGCAATGATGACCCTTTTTTATGAAAGTTTTATTGATTTAATATTTTGTATCATTGCTTGGTACCGATATTTGTCTTTAGACCAGACTTGGTCTGGACTCCAGAGCACTGAGATTAAGCTAACTCGTAGCAAGAGCCACCTTTCAAACTGACTCAACAGTGGACATCTAGGCATGGTGTGAGTTGTGTGCGTCGCTAAAGAACTGTAAGATTGATTCCTGCCTGGAAAGGACAGTCTTGAGCCTTTTATGTCATTTAGGAAATCAGCTTATGTAGAAGACATCTGTACTTGTGAATAAGCGAGCAGTGAAAAGAAGTTCTCCATGTGTGCGTCTTAGAATATTAAAAATGAGAAGGAATCTGATAATACTAGAATATGAATCATGTCAGCATAAAAAATGTTAAAAGTGGGAAAGCACAAAGGATACAGAACATCTTCTCATTTGTCAACACCAACCACATTCCTCCATTCATTTTATCTTTCAGAATATTACTATACTTACTCAACTGGCCCTCAGTTATCATCATGTGCTTTCACTGTAGGCATTCAATCAGAATGCAAGGAATTAATAAAGGCAGAGATCCTCTGATCAAATTTGATTTCATGTTTTTATTTACAAAAACTCATATACATTTCAGAGGGAACCCTGCAAATGTTTAAAGGTAAGAAAAAGAAGTCCTTTCTTTAAAAAAAAGGTTTCACCAGTGGGTGACCATGACAATAAGATCCTCAGTGATGAGGAAATATTACAAAAAAAACAACATGTGATGCAGGTGAAAGGGAAGAAATGGCAAAGAAGAATGACAGAAAAAGCATGTGCAAATATGCGTGAAAATACATTATAAAAGGCAAAAATAGAGTGCCATAATTCTAACAGTAAAAGTTAATATTTTACAATGCCACATTTATTCTTCAATACACCTTGAATTCCAGGTTTCTTGTAGGCCATTCAAAACATATTTGGATGTTGACTCTCAGAATGATCCCACATCTTTACAGGATGTTAGTGCAGTCTGAAGATCACACTGCTTTCTTTACAGCCACTGAGATAAGTGAGCAATACTGCATTTAAAC